TTGCTAAGAAGTAGCTGAATACCGTGGAGATTAATAATCCCACTACAAAATATTTTTCCATGCTCTTTAATTCCACTCATTTATTTAGAACATATGCCAAGAAGTATTAATGTTTAAAAAAGCCTCCACCCGCATCCATATACAATGTACTAATAAGAAGGACCCAAGGTTATAGAAAATGAAGCCTTCCTACTGTGCAGTTAGGTACATTTACATCACTGCCCTTCTTCTTCAATGTGCCCTCTCTATGAAGAGTGTGACTGCTTTCCCAAATGCCCTTAACAGAAGTAGGATCCACCTCACATAACTTAAGTTTTTTTTCACAGACTCCCTTTATAGTCTGGGAAGAGAGAGAATGGGGTTTCTGGGGTGTGATTTACCTGGATTATTTTACACAGCTACATAAGGATGAGATGACATGCCCCTTTCTCATTACAGTTTAGATGATTAGAACATGTATAGATGTCTGAAGCTAGAAAGGGTGAATCCCAACATGGGATGGTTCATAATCACTTATTTTGGGGGGTGAGAGTGTCTGCATGTGTACTAAGTTACTGTATTGTTTCTGTACAAATGCAAGATGATGATACAGGACACTGGGACAGTATCCTGCATTCTGTGCGTCTTAGCTGACATCACTACCAAAAGGCACTGTATCTCAAGAACTGACCTGACGTAGAGACCAGAGCAGAAGTCAAGTTTTGCTGTTGGTGTCCCGCTCCCTCTTTGAGCACTACCATTTCTGCACAGCTTCCCCTACCCTCTCCTTGGCTTAGTGAAAGACAAAACAGGACTATAGTTCTGCTTCCACACTGAAAAAGAAAAACTGCATTGCAGGCTGTACCCATCCCATAATAAAATAAAGCAAGCATTTCTGGCACACTGCTACTTCTGTTGCTCCTCTGAGTTTAAATAACGACAGAGAGTAATTGTATAATTTGACCCTTTTTTAAATGAAATGAAGGAAAAAGGTAAAAACATGGGTTCACCAAACACGAGGATTCCAAATAAACCGAGACAGTTGGTACAAACGTGCAGAGAAAGCAGCTCTTAAAATGACAAATGACAATCCCTGAGTCAGATCCAGTACTTGGGTGATTGTTTTAATTAGGACTGACATATTTTTGTTTCTAGATGTTTCAGCAAGTGGGGAAGAAGGGAGATCTTGGCAGAAAGTGTATGTATCAGGAGGCACCTGATGCTATTGAGCCTGAAGCAAACCTCCCCCAAACTCTTCAGGATCTCATTGAAATACGCAGATGTAATTATTTGAAGTTCCTTAAGGAATTGATGTCGCAGTAATTAGACAACTCATTACATCAAGAAATAAGGAAATAAGACTGACAGAGATAAAAATGAACACACTGATAATTTAGCAATATGTGAACAAACAGGGTTATAAGAACTGATGTTCTGAGAGGAGAAACACCAAGGAGAGAATCAGCAGACACAGGCTCTATTTTGTCAGTCCGAGTCATAGATAGGATAACAAAAAAGAGGTCAAAATAACAAATACTGTCTCTGTCTAAACTATCCTTTGTTGCAGCAGCTTGCTCCCCAGTCCTCCATCCTCTCCAGCCTCTTGTCAAATCTTGTTCAGTGATACCTCACCCTAGAGGAAGGGTAACATGTGTGAGACTGATAGAACCAGATTTTGTCATGGCCTCCCAGGGAATTCAATAGCAGTATTTCCTATGACTTCACCTATCTTTGAACTAGGGCTTCAAAAATCACTTATATTGATACCCTACCCCAACTCTGCTGGTGGGTGGAACACCTTTTAGTGCACCATTCCAGATTTTCCCACCAAAAATTACTCTGGTTAATATTCTAATATTCATTCTAACCTCTGCTGTAAGTCAATTATTAAACAAATATTTTCCTCAGGGAAACTGCAGTAGTAATAATGTAAGAGGAAGGGAGGTATTGTTTACATATCAGTAAATACTTTTGAGAGTTATGATGAAGCTAACCTTTAAGACATGGTATTCTTATTTATAGCAGGAAACTTTAATCATGTACATAATGCATCCAGATAGGCCTTTTTCTAAGCTAGCTTTTTCTAGCCTAACTATTGTCTTTACAGACTATGTGGTGCTGAATGAATGTTTTGAATAATAAAAATAGATTACTGGCGTGTGCTACTTCTCTATGACTTCTTTGCTAATTAAGAGAAAAAAAATCTCAGTGAAATAATTTCAGTGTTCCTCTCATGACTACATCTTTGGCTACTTTCTCGAGCCTCCTACTAGCGGTGCAATTGATTTTCATTATCTTCAAATTCATTCTTACAGTCCAGTCCTCAGCTGCCCGTCTGAGTTTCCTGTTGCATGGCAATACTCTTTGTCTCCACCCTTTTTAATCACAGAGCTTCACTTTTTCTGTCCTTTGTCTGTGAAGAGGATTTTCATCAGTTTCGCAAGCAAAGTTACCTGTCAGCTATGCAGGGGGAAGGACTGCTAACTGGGCCTAGATAGCTCAGAGACTTATGGTATGGAGAGTTTTCACAAACTTGAAGCCAAACTTACTTGGTCAAAAGTGACCAGAAATAACTTCTGAAAGCTTCTTAGCAGCCAAACATGAATGGAAACTAAAGCGAGCAAAGGTTTTGTTTTTTAAAGAGCATCTCCTATGAAAGTCTCCTTGGAAGTTTTTCAATGAGCCACTCCTTGCCCCCAGAAGCCCCTTAACTGGAGAGAAGAGATGAGAATGTCATAGTAATTATCCTCCTTTTTCTGCCTTTTGCTTTTCTCCACATCAGTCAGATACTTTTTTGCAATTTCATTGCTGGAAACTGGAAAGTACAGAAATGGAAAACTATTTGGGAAGCAGAAAAGAGTAATTTCAAAGGAAAGTACTGACCAGCTGTCCTGAGGGAGAGCTGAAAAATGGGTTATCTGAACATGAAGAGAACCACATGGTAGCCCAGAGTGCAAGTCACTATAGTAAAGATAAGATCCACAGTCCAATCCTAGGCCTTGAGTGGGCTCAGGAACCCGTGTGGGCACAATGTTTTACTTCAGGGTGCCTCATATCCTCACCTGCAAAACAACAAAAAGACTTTTACAAAAGGATTTTGAGATTTACCAGAGAGAAGAACTAAAGGAGAGATTATTCCAAGTCATAAGACACACTATATTATTCACCTGCGAGAGTGAAAAGGGTAGCTGAGGTCTGAAAAAGGCCAATAACCCTAGCTCTGCCTGTCCTCTACCCCTGTCTTGCTAAGCTCCCCTAACACATAAACTTACACTCCCAGCCTGCCCAAACTCCAGCCAGTTCAAACGAAAGCATCAGGTCTCTGGGGTGGCTGGTCGCTCCTGCTGTCTGCATCTTCCATTCACCTTGCTGGCATTGCACTGTCTCTGATGTCCCTGAAACAGGGCAGCAGTGGGGAAGAGCCAGAAGAAGTATCGTAGGCAGGAGAAATTCCATCCTCCCCTCCTACCTCTTTAGAAAAAGAAAAGCTACTTATTAGTTAGTTATCCCATTATCACTCAGTAGCTGCAGTTTTTGAGTGGAATTTCAGGCTAAACTAGCCTCCAGTGTGTATACCTGAGCTCTCCCTCAGAGGTGTGCTGGTGAGAGAGTGGGAGCAAGTTTGCACAGCTGCTGCCTGTTCTGTGAAGGCCTGATCCAGGAGCCAGAAAATTGCTCAATTAGAGGCTTGTCGTTGACTCCAATGGGGTGCAAATGAGCTCCAGAGTGAATAAAGGGTTTCAGTTCCTCAAGTTGCTCATCTGGCACCTTTCACCAGAAACAGGCCAATTTTGCAGTTTTAAGTAAATAAAGCTTAAAGTAAACAAAGCTGTTTTTCACCAAAACTCTGGATTCCTTATATGTGGAGAGGTGGAAGCCACAATTGCCTCAGAGAAAACAGACAGCTAAAAGGAGCAAAAGAAGGGACCTGTGAATGAAAAAAGCTGTCCAATACATTGCAGTTCCCCTAAATCATCCATGGCAGCCTCCTGCAGCAATACCTGAGCAAACTCCAAATCTGAGAAGCAGTAGAGCCCTGTCAGCCTGGCACTCTGCCTGAACTACATAGCCCATACCTAATGTAGTTGTGCTGCTTCTAGGACACAAGCTAGTGTCTGTGCAGTACTGTACTGTGCTATCTTGACAAGCCAGGCCATTCCAGTATTGCTGCTTAATGTCCTACACGTACCTAACATCATGTCTTAGTGCATGCTAGCACACATGGCTGTTCCAATTTGATACCATACGTTAAACCTTAAATCTGTGCAAAACCTCTATACAGATACTAGATTGACGGAGAAATTGACAAGAACTGATGTTTGAGCAGCTAAATTATTTTTTTACTACTTTGTGCTGAAGTGAGATGGTGCACTAATTTCATTAAATCAGCCTAAATTCACCCTTTGGCTAAGATTCACACCGAATATACAACAGCCCAGTTTGTACTATTCAGAGCAGAAAGACTGGTGTATGAATTTCTTTATGACATTTCTTATGTTCCCTTTACTATTCCATTATAAGAAAGATGCAAAATGGAGCTATAACCATTTGGAAGTTTGTGATGTAACCACTTGGAAATCTGTGATGTTTTCACAAGGAGATAACAATTTCCCCTTGTTCCCATTATAGCATATTAAGTATCTAGTAAATAGTCTGGAAGGAAAATCTTTTGAACATAATCAGCATTACTTAACACCTACTGTTTTAAAAACTGTTCCTAAACTGTTGTAATAGCGCAAGCTAAAGGGATTTCAGATGTAGTGACTTTCTTTTTCTCTGTTCCTTTCCCCTCACCCCCTTCATTCTCTTTTTCTGGCCAGAAAAACCTAAACCTCAGAATTCCTCCAAAACCAGAACTCCAGTAATAATCAGAATGTAGAATTTCTGACAAATGCCATCTGCTGATTTCTTTTTTTCTCACCCAGAAGAGAAGATTTTGGATATGGCTAGTGAGTACTTTAGCTTCTTCTGCATTGTGATACCAAAATAATCACCATGGCAACGCTTTTAGGGCAGTTTTACAAACAGATTTATTGTGAATGCAAGAACTCAACAGCACTCTCTAGCAAAAAAACAAGACAGCATCTCTTGCAGGTTATTTGGTTACAGTGCATGAATGATGACTAATAGGCATAGGCAGGTCTGTTTGAACCTGTTCAGTTATCTCTCTATTCGTTTAACTTTTCACATTTACAGGTAGTTGGGATTGCAAAGGGGAAAAACAGCAGCAATCAGTACTAAGCTTACACACGTCGTAATTCCTTTCCAGAATACATTTTGTATCTTCCCCGATGGCTGTAAGATGGAATACTACGGAAACAGCACACATATTAGAACAATGATGCACTAGACTAGAAGAAGGTTGAATTTCTTTTGAGATAACTACTGAAGCTTTGGCGTATCAATTTTTTCTTTTCCTTCCCTTCTTATTCCTTCTTTCTCAGCAAAACAATGGAAGTAAAGCTTGCCAGAACTATTCTATGCCATACTGGAAATGGGGGAGGGGGGAAGGTCTCATTTGCACAGTTATGAGGAAGACAGACCATGACAAGTGATTAATTATTAATCCTAAACAGTCATGCTAGTATTTTCCAGGTAGCTCCTTTTTGGCTCACTTATTAGTTAGAATTAGCAGATATAATTTGTACATAAACCAGAATTTTGGAAACTAGCCAGCACTGCTGTGTTATGTAGTTGTGTAAGAGGTTATATATGGTTCTTGCTTTGCATTTGGCAAACTGTTCTCACTTAAACATTCATTTAGCATGATTACTTAAGTGAACCATATAAGGGTATTCCTTGGAGCAGTAAAATTAACTTGTTATAGGGATGTACTATGCCAAAAGCTAATTTAGGCTCTACTTGGGAATTTATAGCATTTGTTTACCATGCCACTTGAATAAGGCAACTTTGCTGACAACTCTTACCCGGCCACAACTTTTATATCACGCTGCATGTCATCTAACACTCTAAAACATTTATTTTTCTGTTATGCACTGTCACCCCATTGTTCTCAATCCAAAGTAAGAAGATAAGAAACCAGTACAGAAAAAGCACACTGAATCCCGTGAACAGTGCCCTTTATCTGTGTGAAGTGGGGGAGGACTTGCAGTTTTGGGGAGTTATTTCTTGACTTTAATTGAATTGCACATTGAAAGAAGAACGAACGAACTTTCCCACCCTCACACCTGACTTGAAAAGATCAGAAACTCAAAACAGCCAATGTTTCTTGCCTTTTTGTCAATCCAACTAACACAGAATGCAAAAACATTAAAGGATTCACTGAAGAGTCATGCTTGGAGATAGCGTCCTGAGGATGTTACTTAATGTATATCTGGGTTCCACAGCAGGTCTCTTCTTTGGGTATAAATTATCGCACAGATTTTGTTTGTGGACTTTCACAGTCAAAAATTGGTTATAAAGTGCAACATCAAGTAAAGCAGATACATTTTTATCAGTGAAGTCAGTTCTACAGTCACTAGAAACTTGTGAAATTTCCTTGAAAGTAAAGAATGAACAGTGCCAGGGGAAAGCATTGATGTCGCTTTCTTTTCAGTCAGCCCAGAAGCTGGCTCGCTGCGTTATATTCAGTCCAACAAGTGCATGCAAATCCAGGAGAGCTCCCTCCAGCCAGGTTACTGTACTCCTTGTTCTTCTCAGTGAGACTGAGATCAAAATCTGTCCCGTCGTCCGCTTTCACGTCTCATTTTCTGTGCAACCATTCTTTCTGCAGAAAGCTCTCTGTGGTGCTTTTTGGTGCTAGTTTCATCTTTCTCCTCAATTCCTCTTTTTCTCTTTAGCACTGTTATAACAGGAAGACATCTGCATTTCAAAAGTGCTCTTCTCTTGTCCGTTTTTTAAACAACAGGAAAAATAACAGAGGAAAAAATTAATTTATGTCTCGTTGCAGATACTAATTGCAGAGTGCGTCGTCTTTCTTTTCTCCCTTTTCTTCTCTTCTCTGACGCACATGCTCTATAATAAGCTCCGTTACTTGGAGCTTGTAAGCCTCTATAGTAAGCTGAAACTGCTACTATATTTACTCACTTTCCACATTTAGACAAAGGCTATTTTTAACTGGAGTTCTATTTGCGGGGGCTGCCAACGTCACTTAATGTTCACATGCATCTTGGGCATCATATGCTTGTTATTTTTATTTACTGTGCCTGTGCCAGGTCTGCTTTTTTATGGGAAGAAAGAATGAGAATGCTTCATCAGGCCAGTTCTTGAAAGCTCTTTTGTGTAATAGCAGATACACAGATTAGCAAAGAAAAAGCAACTCAGCAGTATGTTTGGCAAACCTGATTTTTAATGGCTGGCATCTCTTATCCTATGTGGTCTAGTCGCAAAGCTGTGCTCCTAGTCCCACCGCATTTGTTAAAGCTGAAGATGTTTTCAAGGTAGGTCTGTTATTCTGATGTCTCCTGGAAGAGCCATGAGTTCCTGCTGTGTGATGAGGGACACAGATCCAGAAATCATTATGATTCCAGCACTGCCTCCAGTTAGTTAAAATATATGATGTATAAATAACTAGCGTTTTTCTGATCCTTCTTGTTAGTAGGTGTGTGCTTTGGAGCTTGAATGTAACAGATGTTATTTTCAGATAATTAGCTTGGATTTTCAGTGTGAGAGTTCCTTCAAATGCTGGAAAAGAAAGTGTGGCATCCATAAATCAAGCCTGTAAGTCGGGGCCTCTATATGCTGTTCCCTGCGGGAGTTTTCCTGTGTTGCTCTAGTGGCCTCAGCTTGACCTAAAGGGACTGCCCTTTGCAAAGGTTAGAAATATTTCATTCAGCATGCTGACTCAGGACACCTGATTCTCTTGATATTGCCTCCATCATGTGCCCGGGAGTTTGAGACACTCATATGCTTTTGTAGGGAACGGGTTAGTCTCTACACACATGGTAACGCCTTTATTTGCACAAAAGAATGAATTCCTAGAAAGGAGTAAAGTTCATGAGCAATCATTTAATGCTTTGCTCTTAGCTTACTTAACTGGAAAGTATTAATGGGAAGGCAAGTTAGGAAAAAAGCTGAAATGGAACCTACTAGAAGAGGATTTTGTTTAAATTTGAAATGTTTTGGAACGCTTACAGGCTTTTTTATCTCTCTCTGTACTTCCCACTCTTAACACTAATTCCCTTTTCAGACTAATTTCAACATGAGAGAGACTGAATAAGCTTCACACAAGTCAAAATTCCTGTGTGCTTATCATAACAGAATCAAATCTTTTTCATTTTCCTGTTACTAATTTTTCCGCTGCTGTTTCTTTCCCCACTACAGTGAATGCCTTCATTTTCTTAACAAACTTCTGTTTGTCGGAAAAGTAAGTTTTGATATGAAAACCGCTGTTTTCACGTATATGCTTCCAAAGTTGGCCAGTTAAGTCTTCACTAAGTCACTGACGGGTGTTGGGCAGGTCGCTGAGAACTGCATATGCTTAGCTGCTCCACAGATTAATCCATTTAAGTGACTAAATATGAATGAATTTAGATACCCCATATTTCAAATGATGATACTACTTTTTATGTAATTCTTTCCATGTGAAACCATGTTTTTACCATTAACTGATGCACATTTTTGATGGTTCAGAAACTACAAAGTGAAACCAAAACCCGGTGAAAGGGAAGTGTGTCCCAAACATAACTGTGTATCTTTGCTCATATACTTCTTCTTATACTTTCTTTACTCTCTTCTTAAAAACTTAGCTTTCCCAGTCCCCCTCAGTTCCTACTGTTTTTAATAGGCCTTAGATTTACCATTAGAAAATAAAATGCACTCAAGCCTGATGGGTCATCCCAGGCCAGTGTAATGTTTAGTGTCTGTGTCAATCTGGGCATGATTCATGCTGGTGAGGTACAGTAGCAAGGCTAACTAGTGTTACTTATCTAGCTGAGGAATCACAATCTATTTTTTTTATAGCTTTTGGTCCTTTGGCAGTAGTGTAACCGCAAACACTATGTCCCATGTGAAATGGCCCTGGCATCCACTGCCATGTGATATCTAAAGTTGTACAAGAAAGAGCATACGGAAATGCCCGTTTGGAGGCAGAACCTGTCTTCCCTTTGTCATGCCACCAGCATGTGATATGCACACGGCTCACGAATGACACACAGCCAAGAGCTGTACATATCTGGCATGAAGGTGAGCTCATGTACATTTTCAAGGTATAGCAGTCAGTTACCTTAGTTTGATAAGAAACCAGTATACCAAAACCGTGGCTAATTAACAGCTCCTTTTTTTGTTCACTGATACAAGTTACAAGCAACAATGACTGTGCTTCAGACAGCATGGGCATAATTTTCAGCCCTTTCAAATACAGCTTTTCTCTCCAACATTTTCACCACTGTGTCCAGGCATATTTCCCCAGCGTATACAGTTACACGGTATGTGTGTGCATGAGTGACTGCTTTTTTTTCCTGTCAGAGCTCCGCAAGGGAGATGGTGGGCACTGTGAAATCTGCAGGGTTTGGGAAGCTTTAGTAACATCCTTGCACTGTTCTGTCAGTGCTATCGGATATCATTTTCTAGCTCTTTCCACCAAAAGCAGCAAGCATTTGAAGCTATAGTAGTACTAGACTTATTTGGTGGTCACAGGCCAGTTATTAGAAGATAAAACTAACCAGTAGCAGAGTTTATGCAGCCTACTGCCAACCTATCTGGTTTTCTACTGTACCGAATACTTGCACTTAGATGCTGTGGCAGGAGGTGACTTATCAAAACAGAAGAGAGACTTCTTCATCTGAAGAGCTCTTGTGGAGGGGAGGGAAGGGGTTAAGTATTGCAAAAGTTCAAGCTGACAGCCAGCCCTTATGCTCTGATGTTCTGCGGAGGTTTCCCTTTGATGGAAAGTATTTCAGTGACACAAGACTCTAGCAGCTGAGGCAACACGCTTCTGCTGCACAAACCTTGTGCTTGCCAATGAGTCAATGAGTGAGGTAATTCTAAGAACAACAGTGGCCAGCTTCTGTCGTTCATCATGTGTGAGGCTGTGCTGTGATAAATGGTGGAGGGGATTTCGCTAGAAAATGCTCCAGATGAAGACAAATTGGAATTACTCACCTGTTGCTAAAATGTAAAAGCTGTCTGTGGTATGTAGAACAATCTCAGCCACTGTGTTATTCATGATGGAGAGCACCAGGACAATGCTTATGGACCACTGCAGTCAAACTTGAGCCTTCAGAGCTGACCTTGTGCTATCTCTCTCCTCTTCTTTTCTATTGATTCTTGAATGTACTAAATCTATATATGAGTGTATTGTGGGTTAAAGCATGAGCTATCAGGAGACAATACTCAAAAATCGTAGCACAGGTTCCATTTCATATGACCAGCCAAACTTGTCACATTGTCAGCAATGTCCTGTGTTGTAAAAAGAGCTTTTCACATTAACTATTGGTATGAAATTCTACAGTAGTTTTTACTATTCAAAATTTTCATAATGGCTGACCAGAGGACACCGAAGCCCAGAGCCTCAAAACTGAGTCCTAGATCTGAAAGCAGATAGACGTTAAGTACCTGCTGTAAGTTCTGAGACTGTGCTGTTTGAGCAAAGTAAGGAACATTGCTGGTACAGTACAGGAATGTACATATACACATTTTATCCTTCGTGCTCTGGTATGTCTAGACACAGAGTTTTGGGGTGGTGTGGGGCAGTAGTGACACTTTTTTTCCTCTCAATAATCACTTATCAATCAAAGAGAAAACAACAAAGGAACTTCTTTTGATTCAAAATGAGACAAAATTATTGGTAGATACATCAACTTACTTGGAATTATTGGTAGATGCACCAACAGATTCATGGAATTTTTGAAAGTGTTAAGCCTTTTTTTTCCCCCCCCTATTGAATTCCAGCCCTTGCTGGTTTTGAGGAAGATCTACAGTCAAAGCATATCAATTCCGAAGCCATTTTACTCAAAGAGAATAAGCAGTGTTTTTTCAGTTGTTGCTGCACCGTACTACTCGTAGCAGCACTTACAGCAGACTCAGCAGGGAAAAAATATTTTTTATCAGATATCCTTGGATTATTCTGTGTATTGCATTTCAGAGGTTGTAGAGAGAGTTTGAAGTAGAGATAGCCTTATTTAAAAGGGACCTAGATTTCATATATCACAGAAATCAAAGAGTTTGGGACTTGAGCTTAGCTTGTTCTAAAGAGAGAGACTATTTGTACTGTTTGGATTTGGACCTAGTTTGGAATATTCATGAATATTTGGATCTAGGCTTGCAGGCAGGGTAAGGCAGCATCAGCTGCCTGGAATGAAGCTGCGAATCAGGCCCTTAGTTTCCAGGCAATTCCGGGCATTGCTTTTTTTCAGAGAGAGAGAGAGAACGAGTTGGCACTCAGCCCTTAGTCTTCATTCAAACCAAATTCCTGTTGCAATATTGCCAACTCTAAGTGCTAAAAATCAGGAGATTAAAAAAAAATGTTGTGTATTTCTGTTTGCCGTCTGGTGTTTGAGACTTAATATGGGTTATGTTTTCAGGTTTTTCTTTGCAACCAGAAGAGATAGGAACTCAGGGGATAAGAGGTTAGGGGCAGAATGAGATTCTCACAAATTATTTAACTCCAAAAGTGAGACTTGAATTGAAATCACAAATGTTAGAAGAGTTACACTGTAAAATCCCATGAGGGATTACTATATAAGCTTGTGAGAATTTTGTTCAACTAGACTTGTGTAAGGACTCCAAGAATAAATTTATATTCCATGTTGCTGAACATGCTCTCAATAAGAGTTAAAAATTCATTTTCAAGAGCCACAGAGAGCTTTTATTCCCTGAACTGGTTTTATAGAGACTTGTCAGCAGAAATACTAGATTTTCAGTGTCCTGGTAGATGGGATTCTCTCAATGCTATGCATCTGACCTCTGGAGTAGGCAATAGTATAGGAACAAGGAAGGGTAAAGGTATAAATTTTTTATAGCCAATGATTCCATCCAGCCAAAATCTCCCAAAGAATAAACAATAAACAGCAGCAAATTCAAACATCTTGTCACATCTGTTTCGTAAACCAAACAGCTGGGTGCACAGATGCTTTGGTCTACTAGAGCACTTTAGATTGATTTAATTCTTCTGTCTGCTTAGTTATTTTTTTAATTGGCTTTGATGATTTGACTTTCATTGCTTCTGATGTTGCTGAAATATAGGCACTTCTGTGGCTGATTATGACAGTTACTACAAGAGCATGAAAGGTGGCTTCAGTAACATAAAACCTTCGAGTGAGGGATCACCATCAGCATGTGATTAGCAGGCCTTGAACTTAAGGACATTGACTTTAGAAGCAGAAACTTTGCTCTCTGAGACAGTTCTTCGTCTATAATGTTGCCTTGTCACCAGAAAGTAGTAGAAAATCAGTTACAAAATCACACACAGCTTCTGGGAAAATAAGTGAAAACTAAAATGCTAAATAGCCACTCTCTCTGTATAAATTATGTATAGATCATGTGTGCATTTATTTATTTATTTTTAATTCATTCAGGGATGACAGGTCATCTTGTTCATGTTCTCCCTGCCCTTCCTCCCTAAAACCATTCTGTCAGTCTTGCTATACTCTCATCGTAACATGTCAAAAATTACTTTCAAGGCTCTTCAAAGGCAGCATCTGGTCTATCTCGTCCACACAGTTAAACAGCCCGCATACTTATGA